GAGTCATGTCTTAATAACAAGCGTGAAAGCAGAGAAATTGGGTGGTCCAGGCATGTAGCTGGTGAGCTGACCACCTTGCATTGGTTCTGCTAAAAAGCCAAGATAAACTGAGATAGCTTTGTGGAAGCAGAGTGTCCACTCCAAGAGTGAAGAAGGCTCTTGCCGTCCACCATATGCGTCTCCCGGTTCTCAGCACAAGCAATCCTCACACTGAGACCCGCCCATGAGTCACCCTGGTCTCAGTAAAGACAGAGTCTGACTCTGACTGGTGATGCCTTGATGCCAGGCCAGCACCACCCTCCTAGCAAGGCAGGACGATGAAGCTCAGAGACAGCAACAAATGACCTGACCAGGGTTCACCACTCATAAGGGCAGAGCCAATGGAATCCAGGGTCTAAGTGTCTCCAGAACTCAGGCCCTCTCCACTGTAGCACCCATGACATGATTGGGATGCTGCTACAGCTGGGATCTTGAATGTGTTAAAGGTTTGGTCCCCAGCCCAGGGCGCTATTAGAAGGTGGTAGAGCATTTAGTAAGTGTGGCCTGGAAGGAGGTTTTAGGTCGTCTGGGGGGGTCCTCAAAGAGGATTGAGGCACCCCTCCCTCAAGTGTCTTCCTTTCTTGTTGGCTGGCCAGGAGAGAAGCAGTTTTGCTCCACCACACACTCCACCCTGATGTGCTCCTCCCCACCAGAGACCTACCTGTCCTCCAGGTGGTGGACTGGAACCTCCAAAACTAGGGGCCAAAATAAACCTTTGCTTTTTGAAGTTGATTATCTCAGGAATTTGTTATAGTGATAGAAAACTGACTACCACATATGCCATGTTCTAAGAGAAACCTAGGTCTGCAAGAAGGACCCAGTGTGTGACGCTGTGGAGCCCACATCACAGGAAAAACAAATGGAGAATGAGAGACATGTGATCTAAAAAACAAACAAATGAACAGACTTTGGAGATAAGGCAATTAGCCCCAAACATGAGAAGAGCTGTCCAATAGGGAAGCCACCTACCTGGATGGTCCTGTTGGGGGGCACCCCAATGGAGGAGACAGATGGGCATGTTCGTTTGGGTTCTTATGAAGAATGTCATAATGGTTGGGCTGTCCTAAAATAGAACAGACCATCCTGGGGTGCAGAGGTCACAGCTTTCCAGACACCACCTCCATGACTGATGTGTCTGTACAGCACTTGTCATCTTACTATCCCTGCTATCAAAGAAGCATTATATGTTGTAATGATAACAGTAAATCTGACCAAGACAATACATCACTTCCAGCAAAGATCATTCAACCAGAAGACCTACTGTCTTTTTGTGTTTATAAAGAGGTGTTAATAAATGTTAGTCAAACATTAATGGCATATTATCAGGAAATGGAAATGACATATTTAGAATCAAAATAAAAGCAATCTATTTAGAATTGAAATAAATTCAAAAATCACTCTTTTTTCTCCCTCTGAAATTCAGCTGCACCTCCTAAAATCATCTTGGAAAACACTGGTCCTAATGATCTCAGCCATGAACTTCTAGACCCCCAGGCCCTTCTATTAAGCAGAACAGCCCAAGTTCCCCCCAAGTATTGCTTAGAAAGTTTTGAGCCCTCTCACCATCCCCGATACGCTCCATGGATTAGCATCTTGTGGCAGCAAAGAATGCAACTCTGAATGAGCAGGAACATGATCCTTCCAATCAAGCTGGCCCAGAGCATCCTCAGCTGCCCACTAGCATCTCCCTTCTCTGTTGGCACTCACTGCACTTGCTCCACGAGAGCCGCTATCTTCTAAGCCAGGTAAGGTCACATCCTCCTCAGCCCACTTGACTACTTGGTGCTTTTGGATTGACTTCTTATAGTTAGGGTAACTCAAAAACAGACTACATGGAGTCGCCAATCAGAATGTGTCAGGGAGAGAATTCAAAGTGACAAAGTTTGGCCAGAAGCTATTGAGCAGGCCTCCCGCCCTGCAATCCTACATTTAACACAACACACAAGGAGAGGGTAAGAAGATGCCAAGGTGCACCATGGGGAAAGAATATGGGAACCCTGCCCATTTCAGGCCTGTACTCTGCCTGATGGTCATGAAGCATCACATTTTCTGCCACAAGTCATTTCATTCTCATAGCTGCTCTGGGAAGTAGGTAAGATGTCCCCGTTTTGCAAATGAAGAAACTGATGCTCAGAGAGGCCAACTAATTTATCCAGAACATGCAGGCAGTTAACAGAATCAGGATTCCCAGTCAAGGTTCATCCTATTACATATGCAGACGAAGGAAGAAATTAGAAAAGCGAAAGGCCACCAGCTGATGGTGACCTTGAAGGTGAGGATAAGTGGTTATGTTTTAATACAGAGGATCAGAAAAAGGTCACATGTCTTTGGATGTGAGGAATTACTTTTGAGTCTTTGCAAATACTTGAGATCAACTAATACTTAACAAATAATGAAAATAAAACCAGAGGAAATAAGTGAAAGGCAAAACCCTCAGGATGTACAGAGGTGATCTAAGAAGGGAGGTTCCTGGTAGTCTTTGGTCATGTCCCTTCAGAGGACCTAAAACCAGCCTCTATCCAGAAAAGCAGTCAAGAACAAACCCTCCAGGAGCAACAGGGACAAGGATGACTCCTTCTCAAACCACCTTTGTGGAAAGTGCCTTCACAGTTTCTTAGAAGTGAAAGGCAAACGTTTAGCCACTTACATTTTAGCAGACTGCCGTGAACATTAGCTGTGTGCCATCAGGGAATTTGAAATTCCAGGATGTTTTCCATTGGCTCAGAAGGTCACTGGATGTTACAGTGGTGGATTCAAGCAGCTTATCAAAAATTAACTCATACACAAGGCTGATCCAACAGTTTGATTCCTATGCCTCCCACTGAAACACACATACACACAAGCATGCAACAGACCTGGAAGGAAATGACAAAGGGACTAGCGATAGCGTTCTCCACAGTCACTGCTAAGCACAGGGGAGAAGTGACACACTTGTCAAAGCTGTGAAGTGGGTCCCTGACACCACAGGCTGCTGCGGGTCCACATGCTTTCAAGCCACAGGATGTGCAATTCATGCGGACTTTGAAATATTGGATTAAAGAACACAAAGCTCCAGGAACACCTGAGCACCTTTTTGAAATCATGTAAAATCACAGTGGAGTCCACAGCACCAGGAAAACATTTGGAAACTTTACTTAAAGTATTATTACCTATGAGGAAGGGTCCGCAGTGAGATTTCTTAGAGCTTATGAATATTTATTATGGAGTATTCTTTAAAGCAACCAAAAATTAAGTCCAGAACAAATGGGAAACAGATTTCTAAGAGTCGTTATGTTTACATTATGCAAATTATAGTTGAAGATCTATAACCCGAATATTGTTAAATGCCTAAAAAGGGTGGGGGGAACAGCTGATATTTGGACATTTTCTTAAAATGGACGAATAATATTTTTAGAGCTTTTGACAGTCTGTGCACTGAGGGACTCCTGCAGGCACATCTTTTACTAACCTGGTAGTAAAGTCATTAGGTCAAGGCTATGTCAAAGGCCTGGGGTTTTAATAGCCCCTTTGTTCACAGACTGGATGGGTGACACTCAAACCCGATAGGAAAGCCCTCATACCTGGCTCAGCCCCTGCCAGTCCAGAAGCAATGAGGAGGCTTTGCCAACACGCCAAAACTCCCACCTAAGCACACTTGGGTTTCACATTTAGCAAAAAAGAGAAGCAAAGTGGACAGGCTTACATGCTGAAAAGCTTGCCCGAAAGATGTCACCTTGGACTTTATGACACTGATCGAGCATAAACCCCAGACAGACACACAAGTTTACCTCCAAAGGAGGCAGCGAGCTGAAGGTGGCCCCCACCCTTGACAAAATGTAGTTACAGACTCATAACCCAAGCTTTCACCAGGTACCACATCACTTGAGGAAGGCTAACTAATTGAAATGTTTATTATTAATAGCTACTATTTCTTGTTAGGACACCAATACATAGTCATCATATGAAATCTGTAAAACACAGAGAAAATTGCTAAATAGAAATACATTTAAAGTGAAAGCTTACCAAGTCAGAAATGAGGTGCCACCTCTTCAGATCACTGATGTCTGGGCTCAGGCAAACCCACAAGCCTTTCCTCCTCACCTCCCACTGCCCATTGCCAGCAGCCCCTGACCCCTGCCCCAGATGCAAAAGAGCACAGCTGTGCCCTTTCTCAAGGCTTCAACCCAAGGAGCTGAAAAGTCTGTTGTACATGGTCTCCCCATAGTGCAGAGGAGAATGAATGAGTTACAGATCACATAAACTTCACCACCAGAAACAAAACTCCCGGCCCACTCATCACCTTGCAAAAAACACCCTCCCATGCTCCAGTTGTGCGGTCTTAGGCAAGTCATTTGACAACCCTTGTCCTCCCCTCTATGTGGGGGCTGAGAATGTTCCCTTCAATTCAAAGGGTTGTGGTAACATTCAACGACAGTGTCCCATTCCGTGCATGCAGCTAGTTCTGCACAGCACTGTTAATAAGAACAGCAAGTCCTATCCCCAAAAGTAACTCTGAATCCTGTCACTGTGAGCAAGATATACAAAAAGATACAGACACTGGGGCTGGGGACAGCTCAGCCTTAGAGCATTTGCCTAAGCTTAGAGCATTCCAAACCCAGCATCACAAAAAAAGAAAAAAAAAAGTGTGTTTGTGTTTGTATGTGTGTGTATGTAGAAATAAACTTGCTCTACTGGATTCTTGAAAGTTGAAAATAAACCAGCTCTGCCTTGATGTTCTTCTAAACTTGGTTTATGAGCAAAACCATCCTTTCTTAGGCATTTGATTCCATTCATTGCATTCAATGAAATCAGGAACCCTGTTTTTAAAATCCAGGGCTGGAAGCATAGCTCAGTAGTGGAGCATTTGCTGAACACATGCAAGGTCCAGAGTTCCATCCCCAGCATCATATATGTATACACACATGCGCACACACGCACGCGCACGCACACACACGCACACACACACATTAATAATTACTAACCTGTCTTTGTGTCTTGGGGATTAACCAAAACCAGTATTTTATGGTGAGGTTCATCACGGTGCAGAGAACAAAAGCAAGTGGATGAAGTTTCAAGTTTAACCTGAAAAAATAATAAAATATCTGTTTTGCTCTTTCATCATATTAAGGGCACAGGAAATTGCTGAACAATTAGCACAGTATTCATTGAAAGAACACTACATCACGGAGGTAAACAGGATGTAGGCAACATAAAAATGCAAATCTTACTCATTCTGAGCTAACCACAAGGGGTATCTGGTAACTGTCCCATCTCCGACCTGCCAAACTTTTCTCCCCACTTTCACCTGCCCACCTATTCAAGTTGATTAAACACTCTCCTGCCAAATGCCCTGGGTATCTCTCACTTCCATATGCTTCCTACCCCAGCCTTCCATCCTGATCCTCCTTGGGCCTCAGCCTGCAAAAGCTGAGAGCTACACACCCACCTCAGTCATATACCTGTTAAGTCGGCATCAACTATCCTCCCTGAGCCCTGGTGACTACTCTATAGGAGCAGTCCAGGATGTCACTTTGGCTGCCTACTGCCCTGGCTCAGGCCCCTGCAAGCAGTCTCAAGAAATACATACTTCACTGGGTGCTCCAGGCTTAGCCAGGGCTCCATGCAGCCCTGCAGCGGAGATGCTCAATTCTGGGTGCCTATTTGCTTATATGACAGAGGAACTGGGGTCGCCGACACTGGGATTGTCCCAGAGTCTTCTCTCAAGCCCCCTCATCCAAAGCCCTCATAGTGGCCATCACACTTTCTTCTCCCAGCTTCCAAAGCACAAGGTCAACACATTCCATTACCATGCTTACTTTGAAAACCAAGGAGAGTTAAGAAAATTAGAAAAGAATGTGTCAGCTGAGCAAGGCAGGAAGGCTGCTTGTAAAAGTTTACAGGAGGCCTCCACAGTTTCAAAGAACTATTTCTTAACAAATCCTGGGACACATAAACATCTTGGTACCTCCCCATCTCTGAAGTCACTCTAATGAAGAGATCTCAAGCTGGCCCTCCTGCAGAGGTTATGTCAAGCACAGCTCATCCACAAGATGGCCGATACAAGGCCATTAAATGTGCCATTTACAAGGCATCATATCAACCTAGAAAGATACTTATTACTGAATACAGCATTGTATTCAGGGAGTGACCTCACCTAGTTGTTGTTGTTGTTGTTTTTAAGTATGCAGGAAAAAAAAAATCCAACAGAAATACATCAGAATGTTCCCGGTAGTGAACCATGCATGATTGTGTTTTCTCTACCCTTTGGTACAGTGCCCAAGTATCATACAGTGAGCTTTTACTGTTTTGTGACCAGAAAAATCAACAAATATTATTGTGTTCTAAATGTGACAGAACAATTTTAAGACCAGAAAAAGAGTCAATTATAAAATGAAAAGATATAGGAGCAAAGTGACATGACATGATATAGCCTCAAACCACTTCCACATCTTTCTTTTTATTTTGGAAAACCCCGGATTCAAAAAGAAAAGATAAACCTGCTAAAAGCAATGAGGCAGTTCAACACCATTCCTAATGAGGCTATTTTGTAGCTTAGCTGTAGGAAACTGCTCCTATCCTTTAATTAACTACTAAAATAGCAGGAAATCGAATGATTGTTTCCATGAAAACTTTTTTTTTTAGAAAGGAGTGAAGCAAATAGGTATACAGACATGACAGCATTTCTATCATATTAAAACAACTTAATTTTAGTAACTGTCTTATGTTTTTGTTAACACTAATTTTTTTATCTTAAAGAGCATAGTCTGTATTGAGTTTTATTTTAAGGAAAGTAATCCATAAACATGGGTGTAATTAAAGCAGGTGACTGAAACTTCAGGGCTAGCTGCTGCACTTCAAGGCTCTTTTTGGATTGCCCTGCAACCTCCACGCTCCACCCACCCCTGCAGCCCACCTCTCAGCTGGGTGTAACTAAATCCCCAACCTTGACGGAGTGCTTGAGAGCTTCTGGCCACGAGGGGGCGCTAGAAGTGTACAAGCACCTTCTGCAGATCAACGTGAAGTCACCCATGGGAACTGGATTCTGGGAGTGACTTGACTGGGAGTTACCATCTCTGAAATCTCAAGAAAGCCAGTTTGTAACTGTACCAACCATTGTTTTCATTAACTCTGGAACAACTGCACTATAGTAAAACAACACCCGGTCTCCCTCAACAAACTGTGCCTGCCAGATAGCAATCGTTTCTGCCATGAGTGAAATCTTACAGATGATCTCAAACAAGAATTTTTTTGTCTCTTCCAACAGATCAGCCTCAAATGTGAAAGATAACTACCATAGGTACTATCCAATACAGGTATTCTTTTTACTGACTGCAGAGAGGGAAGACTATCTCTTAAGTTACACAGTTTTAAAATTTCACCCACAATGCTACCATCCGAACGAATAAACAATTTTCTTGTCTCTCTGTTCCCTTCAAGGCCCGACTCACAATGCACACAATCTTACTAGTGCCCAAAATCATAAATGACATAGCTTCATTCCAAATTATGAAATGATAGAACTGAAAAAACCTTAAAGACCATAGATAAACCAATCTCTTCATCTTACAAATCAGGAAACTGAGGTTCAGCTAGGTATTTATTATACCCTGTATCGCTTTTAATTACTTTATAAAATATTATTATAATTATTTAATTATTATTTAATTATAATTTGAAAATAGTAAGACAAGAGAAGGTACAACTTAACCAAGGTCACACAGCTAGTAACTGGTAAACCTATGATTCGCACAGGTTACCTGGTTCATTGCCTGGCACAACCAGACTCACGCTCAGGACTCCAGAATCCCAACTGAAGATCCCTTCTGCTTCTCAAGGTGGAATTATTTTAGTATTCACTTTTGTTTTTGTTTTCCTAAATCTGGAATGTTCTTTCTATAACACTTTCTTCTCTAAATTAGATTTGACAGAACTCTCCTCCAAGAAAAAGCACACATACCTGCTCCCCAGAGGAAAGAGAGAAAATCTCTGATGAGGTCTGAGCTCCTTCACCAAGTGAAGCATGATAAGCCAATGTTGCTTCCTGATGCCCCTCGGGGTCATCTTCCAAAATATCCACAGGGTAAGTGCCTGCTGGGGTGGGGAGTAGAAGTGATGTTAGTTTTATTCTTTCATTAGAGGGACAGTCACTTATATCTTGAAGATATAAAACTAAAAGATTATTTGCTTTAAATAAATTTAGTTCACCTATTCCCTGTTAGGCTGTTTAGGAAACTTCTTTGAAACTACCGAATGATTTCCCAAGTACTTTCAGCAGAATCAACACAACAGCAAGGAACACAGCAGGCATTGGGAGGGCTGAGACTAGCTGCTGACTTCTTCAAAATCCAACTTGACCCAGCTATCCCACTCCTCGGTTTATACCCAAAGGACTTAAAAATCAGCATACTATAGTGACACAGCCACATCAATGTTTATAGCAGCTCAATTCACAATAACTAAGCTATGAAATCAACTTAGATGCCCTTCAAGATGAAGAAACTGTGGTACATATACACAATGGAATGTTACTTAGCCTTAAAGAAGAATGAAATTATAGCTTTTGCAGGTAAATAGATGGAACTAGAGAATATCATGCTAAGTGAAATAAGCCAATCCCCGCCCCCCAAAAAAAACAAATGCTGAATGTTCTCTGATAAGCAGATGCTGATCCATAGTGGGGAGCAGGGATAGGGGCAGGCGGAACTTTGGATTGTGCAGAGGGGCGTGAGAGGAGGGGTGGGGTGGTGGGGATGGGAATGAAGGTAGAATGAGACAGACATTATTACCCTATATACATGTATAATTATACTACTGGTGTGACTCAGCACCATGTATAGCCAGAGGAATGAGAAGTTATGTTCTATTTACGTACAATGTGTCAAAATGCATTCTATTGTCATGTATAACTAATTAGAACAAATTTTAAAATCCAGCTTGAGTGGTTCTCACTTTACTAGCTAATATTAACTATAAATATTAATATTAGCATGATATTCTCTAGTTCCATCTATTTACCTGCAAATGCTATAATTTCATTCTTATTTAAGGCTGAGTAAAATAATGATGAAACTTGGGATCTCTATCTCATACAGGTTCATGAGATTTTGCCCATTCCTCCCTTAGTGGGACTACTCTTTTGTAAGAGACCATAACTCCAATGACTCATATGAAGTACATAACTACATGCCCACACAGATAAATGAATATTGTACGTATTCATTTGCAAAGAAATTAATGCATATTATTCTCTGAGTCTTCCCTGGTGTCTTTTTCCTATAGCCACACTTTTGGAGAAAAAAATGATTTTATTTGAGGAAAAATTATATTCTTGAATCAAACAAAGAGAGCGTACAGTTGAACTTAGCAGCAGCAATCAAATTTTCCCTCTGGGGCTGGGGATGTGGCTCAAGGGGTAGCGCGCTCGCCTGGCATGCGTGCGGCCCAGGTTCGATCCTCAGCACCACATACAAACAAAGATGTTGTGTCCTCCAAGAACTAAAAAAACAAATATTAAGATTTAAACAAAAAAAAAAATTTTTTTTTTAAATTTTCCCTCCACAGCAATCAAAGATGCTGGGCTGGCATGTCCCCACGTGGGATAAGGGCTCTATCCCCATTCTGTGGACTCTGCCCCATCTTTACCTTGGATTTGCCTCTGGGCCTCCTATAAGAGAAGAAGGTTACCAGAGAAGCTGCTGCCCTTATTCCTCCCCTTCCTTATTGAATATGGAAGGACCATCATGATTCCCTGAATAATACAGCATAACAACTACTTGCATTTGCACTGTATCAGTAAGTCATGTACAGATTAAAGTCCCCAGGAGGATCTGCACAGGTTCTATGCAAACACACCATTTTATTTAATGGACTTGAGCATCCACAAATTTTGGGTTCCAAGCAAGGGGGTGGTCCTCAAACCAGTCTTATGGACACCAAAAGACAACTGTATATTCTTCCACTCTTTGATTTCTTTTTTAAGTACTTCAGGGTGAAAATCACACAAAAATTTACTACTACAACTGCATTGATTCAAATATTTCAAATAAAGAATTGACATCAGGCAAGGAGTAAAATAATGATGAAAACTTGGGATCTCTGTCTAAAAAGATTGTGGGCCACTACAACCAAGACACTCTGCTACAGAAGGCACACGTGTGTGAGCGTCGGTGTGTGTATCCTCTCCACACATAAATACATTTAAAGAATCCCAGACTCCTCCTTACCTTGATGAGTCAGGAAGTCCCCCAGCAACCAATCAGACCTGCAGCCCTCTAGCTGAGCCCCTGGGGTTCCTGTGTTCCTTACTGAGGCCTTCAGGAGCACAGCTCAGGAGCCAGAGGGATCCAGTTCCTTACCCAGGGACCATTTCAAAACCGTCAAGGAGACCAAACTCAGCCTGTCTCACTTCCCTTCAATCATCCCAATCCATCCCTCACTTAGCACAGGGTCTCAGCATCCCATAACAGCCTCTCGCCACCCCCGCATCCACCCACCCTCCACCCACACCAATTAAAATAGCAGCACAGTTAACTTTCTGTGGACTCTAGATCTCAATATGCTGCTCAGTGTCCCACGGACCGCATTTCACTGAATCCTGCTTCACTCCAACTGGCAGAAGAAGAAACAGGCCTCACGAGGATAAGACCTGGCTAGAAAGCAGCAGAATCAGACAGGAGACCAGGTCTGTCTGATTTCAAAATCTGTGTACAGCATTCAGATCATGACAGTGACCCTATCAACTCGGTCTCCTCCACCCTTACCCCTCCACATCCCCATCTCCTCCAGCACCCAGTGGGCTCATGTCCCCACTCCTGACATCCTCCTTCTACCTCTTCATCCACAGGATCCACCTCCGATGCAGCCATCTCTCCTTGCTAGGAATCCCAAAAGGCAAGGGCAAGTACTCTAGGGATCACTGAGTCCTGTGTTTATGTGAGAACTTAGCCTAGGATAGCAATTAACACTGATCAGCCACCCCCTCTGTCTGTAGGGCCCCCAACTCACACCTCAACTTGGTCTCTTTTAGTAGTTACCCCCTAACCCAGAGCTGCTGGGGCTTGCTGAGTACAACTTCCCTCCCCACTCCCAGACTCTACTCTGAAGATCCCTCCCCATGCTTGTCCCATACAAAGCACTTAGTAAATTTAGGTGGTTGTTTAACTGAGCTCTGCACTGAAACTGCTACTTATTTCATCTAGTTGGTCAAGTATGCAAAAAGACCTGGCAAACATTCCAATGAATCAAGGAAAACTGGAAAAGGGGCTGCTTGAAACCTGGGTGCATCCTGCAGAAACCAGCCTCAGTAGCTTCCTCTCCCAAAATGTCCCCAGGAGCACCAGCATAAGGAGCAAGTTAGAGATGGACTCTGATTTTTACTCTCTGTTGCTGACTCTATGTTTTGGGAAATGCATTCCTCAGGTCTGGACCATTGATCAGCCTACTCCAGTGAGGATGCAGGGCCGACAGAAGAGCATCCTCAACCAGCCCCAGAGAGAAGCTGAGCAAGGCCCCCTGTCATTTTCCCTTGTGCCCAGGGAGTGGAAGAACACTGTGGCCAAAGGGTTTGCAGGCACTCCCAATTTGAGGCCACCAGGCCAGAGGCTTGACTCCTGGTGGGTCGGGTAGGGAGGCTCCTTCCTGGCTTCTACAGGCTGCCAAGAGTTGCCTGGCACGATTTCTGGTCGTGTGTGGTCAGGAGAAATGCTATGAATGTGTTTTGCTCCTTCCATGCCATGAAATCATTTCCCCTGCAGGTTACTTTGCTGGGGCTGTGAAACATCCTCAAAGGACTCTGTGGGGACTTTCCAGAAGACAGTCACTGCCCTAGGGCTCTAACGCCTGACTGCCCAAAGGGAACACAGGAGTGGACCCCTTGGGGTCTTTTCAGAACCAACAGCTTCAGGAATCAGAAGACTATCCTGAGAGTGGTGGTGACATCCTGCCTTCCTCTGGGGAGAGAGGCACATAAATTAACCCTCCCAATCACGGCAAACTGGTGGGGGTGGGGGAACACCATAATGCTCAAAAAATAGTGTGGGGCTGGGGATATAGCTCAGAGTGCTTGCCTCTCATGCTCAAGGGCCTAGGCTCCATCCCCAGCACCTCCAAAAAAAATAGAAAGAAAATACTGTGGCACCCACACTCAGTTCCCTTTTAAAGCAGGGTGCACAAGAACAGCCACAGAGCAGAGCACTAGGAGTGCCCCTCAATTCAACCTAGCACCCACAACTCTCTGGCCCACTTTGTTTAAATTCATTCTCTTCCCTTTGAGGAAAACTTCTCCATCAGAAATCTCAGCAGCTTCTGTCCTATACAGATGTTTGGGTTAGCTTCCTGGAAAATTGGGTGGGAATGACAATCAAAGCCGCTTAAGACAGGAGAGGGGCGAGAGCACCCAAGGCCCAGCAGAAGAAGACCCCTCCCCAACCTTAGAAGAAGGAAGGCACCGCTCCTCAGCCCAGGAGAATGAAACCCTCTCATGACTCAGAAGGAGGACGGACTCCCCGCTCCCAGGAAGAATTAAAACACACACACACACACACACAAGCACACACGAGAGTCCGCCTTGGGAAGTAAACAAGGCTTGCGCACGCGCCTGAGGCTGGACCAGGCCTCCACGCTGTTCTGCTTCCCCGCTTCCCGGGTGATGGAAGGCAGGCTCTGCAAGAGCCTCCAGATGTGAAATGCTAACAGCCTTTAATGGCTTGAACTGAACAGAAAATATTTTCCAAAGCCAAAAGAATGTAATCTTTTCAGTACAACGTTAAATACTTTTTATTAAAAAAGGCACACAGTTGAAATGATATTCTCTGCAGACTGTAAAGAAACTGAAATCCCTCAACAAACTCAGAATTAAAGAATTCACTTTAAGCATATGTTGGCATAGTCACCCTAAAAACAAAAACAATAGTACATCTGAAAGCATTCTTCTAGGGAAAATAATTGAATTATTCAGGATGTTTGTACCAAAGCTCAAGTTCCCAGACTGCTTCAACAGCAATGTTATACCGAGCCACTTTGTATCACCCACTGCCCATTGGCCACCGACGCTGCAGGGTCAGCCACTGCTGTTCAGGCTGGCAAGGCCTTTC